TTAGTTGGGATGCAAGTCTAGACCACCAGCTGCTGCCTGAGCTCAGTTGCAGTGGGAAATCCTCATGGGTCTGTGCCTCAGAACCTCAGGGCCAGGGTTTAACGTTCCCAGAAGACCAGCAACCGGAGGTGGCAGAGCCCAGGCCGGTCAGGAAAGGTATTGTCCATCCTGGCCAGCTGCTGTGATACCCCGTCAATGGGCCCATTGAGACCAAGCCCCGTTTTGCGTATTATTCTTAATAAACATTCCTCGCACAAGCCATAATGGCCCTTTCAAGGCTCCTGCTTTGAATGCGTGCGAATGACAGAGTGCCTTTGTGTACTCACAGGTAAAAATACACTGCCACCCTGTTGATATGAGGCGTACATATTTATAAATATTTATCACCGAGCCATGGCTGACATTTTCAAAATGCTGCATTTGAACTAGACTTTGGTTTTTTTTTTTTCTGTCTCCCAAGCTGAGAGGCCAGACGAGGTTAATTAATCCAATTTTGCCTAATAACATGCAGCATAATGATCTCCATGCTCTGGTTTATTTGTCCAGGGGGAGGGGCTCCAGGGAAGGTTTCAGTGTCTTGGGGAGGGGGGTCCCCAACTCAGGGTGGAGCCTGCCCACAGCACCTTCTGTAGCAGCAAGCTAGGAGCAGCTGGCTGAGTAACGTCCAGGTCTGGGCTTGGGTGACTCCAAGGGAGGGAACACATGGCTTGTGGAGCTTCTGCCCTGCCCCAGGAGATGCTCTGATGATTCAGAAATGACCTGCCAAGTGCACACTGAGGAGCTGGACCGGAACTCCTAGCTCGGAATGCTGTGGTCCGTATAAGGGTGCCAGGACCAGGACCTTGGGCTGAACAAGCATCGGGTCCACTAAGGCTCCACCAACGGCAATGCTTGGTCTCTAGCAAGCATGATGTGGTGACGCCAGTGCTTGACTTCTTGTGGTAGGTTGAGTTCACAAACGGTTGTGACTCCCTAATAAAGTATCTGCACCGAATCCTTGCCTCAGGCTCTGTTTTCTAAGGAACCTAGGCCGGGTTCCATAGAACGCAGAAGCCAAAAGAAATGGGAAGGAAAAGGTTTGGAAATGGAGGCCATGGAAGAGACAGAAGCCAAGATTGCTCAAAGCCCATTCAGTCAGTGTCACTAAGCTGCTGAATTAACATGGCCAGGCCAGCTGCCCCTCTGCACCTGGGCTACCAGAGGATCTGGGAGAGCTGGGGATTTAGTTCAGTGGCACCGTGCCAGCCTCGAAAGTGCAAGGTCCTGAGTTCGATCCCCGGTACCGAAGGGGGAAAAAAAAGAGCTGGGAAACCAGGCTGAGGGCCCTGGGTTCCAGCCTGTCTCAGCCCAGCCTGATGCCCCAGCAAGGCCTGTCCCCAGTCCCTTCCTTTCAAGGACGCATCCTTGTAGCTGCTAGGAAACCAAGCCCAGACAGAGAGCATCAGAGGGGCCCTCTTCCACACTGCGTTCATTGTATTTAATAGTCAATGCAGATGCAGAACAGTTTTGCTGTCCTGCATGGATGGAAACATGACTGAGCGCATTGGGCAGGCTGCAGGCCCTGCCCTCTCAGGGTGGCTGGGCCCCTACTGGGCTCGGTTTTTTGTCCACAGGAGAATCTGTGAGGCCCAGCTGGCACCTTCCTAGCCAGCTCACACTGGGCATCCCCCAAAAGGGGGAAGAAAGTGGCTCCTTTCGAAGGCTCCTGATGGGGGGGGGGGTTCTTTTGAGTCGATTAGCAATTAAATCCACAGACAGCTGCTCACTTCTGTGTTCAGTGCGGTGGCACACCCCTTTGATTCCAATGGCATCGTGTCTTTTCCAAAATTCTTTTCTGTGGACCGGACAGTTTGATTGCAGCTGTACAAGTTACAGATCTCTAGCAGTCTGCGATTAAGTTGAACCATATGAAACTGACCATTTTGTGAGTTGGAAATGGTTGGATATCAGCAGTTTCACGTGAGTCATTGTATTAGGTGGCCAGATTCCTGATTCCGGGGGTGGGGGGAAGGTAAGATGAGGCTTGGAGAAGACTAAGGAACAGATGGAGAGATCCAGTGAAGTCAGAGGAGAAGGAGGAACGGCATTAAATCAAGTGGTGCCAACAGTGACCACTTTTCCTACCAAGAGTTTAGTGTGGTTTTGAGGTCAGAATTTGACCCACATTCTTTTAACAAAAGGACCTTATTCCTACAATTAACACATTTCAAAGTAGATATTTAACAAGTGTTTGCTGACTGATGAATGAACACAGAGGTCAACGCGGGGCTACCAGCACCCCGTAATGAAGGCGCACGGAGGAAAACACAGATTGTTTGTCTAGGCCATAGCGGAGCTCAAGCCTCTGTGATTTCCAATGCAGAATCATCTGTCAGGCGGCCTTGAAGGAGAATGTTAACTCTCTTTTTGTTGCTATGGAAAAGGGGAATGATATTTATTCCATACAGGGCAGCACTAACGGGGGTTAAAGGTGATTGGTCATTGAAACGCTAAGGAAGGAAGACGGCACAATAAATACTAATTGTAATAACTGTTCCTGGCTTCTAAGAAAAATGCCTTTTAAAAAAAGAAGGAAGGAAGGAAAGAAAGAAAGAAAAATTCCTCCAAAAGAGAGCCTCCTGGGACAGCCTTGTTGTGTCACAGCCTTGTAATCTGAACAAACCCAGAGGGGAAAAGGTTTAGTGAGTTCATGACAGCAAAAGGACACAGGAAATCCTATACTTTAAAACTGTTCTTAGATAAATTAATTTCATGTTTCAACTGTCAAATTATCACGTTAATTAACATTACACAAAACTTGTAAGTAACTACACATTTCTTCAGTTTATGTGTAAAAATCTACATAGAAACCTGATAGAAAGGTCCTGCCAGCCCTGGGGCGTAACCCAGGTCCACACAGCAGTAGCTATTTCATCAGCAAGCCTGTGCCCCAGCAGATGGTTGTATCCTGCATAATTCAGCACTCCAGGACTCCAGGACTCCAACCCTGTGTCCCACAACCCTTGGTAGGGTCATCAGGAAACAGTGTTTCCTGAATTTTTAAGACAGCTTTACTGACACTCGAGTCCCTTCAGTTCTGTTTGCTCCCTACTTCTCCCAAACACACACACACACACACACACAGACTTTAACAGCTGACAGTGTGGCTCATGGTGTTTTAAACCCAGTCAGAACAAGCTGAGCAGGGGAGGGGCGGATCAGTTTAGCTTTCAGCCAGTCCTATAACCGGCAGTAATTGACACTCGAACTCATGACACATTGCATTCCTTCATATCTTGGCAGTAATTGAACACACACAAACCTGCCCTCATGGTGCCCCTGGAGTGTGCCACACGCCTGGAAGTAGCGAGGTTCAATTAACAGTGGCTACCTGTGAGAACCACCACTCACCGGCGCAGCCAAGGAGCCAGGACAGAGCAGGGAGTGACCAGCCAGCTGCTCAGCAGAATCACCCCACACCAGCATTTACAATCTGATTTTTCCAAGAAAACTTACATGCTTCTAATTACACCAATTAATTTTACCTAATAGCTTTGCTCATCTCTCATTCAAAGAGTTATTTGGCTAGAATTTCCAGAATAATCAACTGGGAGAAGTTGGCAATGACCCAGTGAAATGTCTGTGATATTTTTATATTAAAAACAGCAGATTAGAAACTGAATATGATCTGAAAGATGGCATTCAAGAAGAGAAAATGCAGCATAAACACGATGAAGTTCTTTTTCTTCTTCCGTGTGCTCCCCAAGCATACAGGTAGCGGCCCAGCACCTGCAAGGATTTGTGCAGAGGACGTAGACTCAAGTAAAAGGGTCGGGACACCGACATGGGACAAATACAGGAGGTAGAGGACAGGTGGCATTGAGCGCAGCCTCAGCGGGTCCGCAGGCTCGGAGGTCTTCCTGCAGGAGGAGGAGGAGGAGCAGGAAGCAGCTGGGGAAAGGAAGGGAGAGAAGTGTGCAAAGGCTTGGGCCAGAGAGGGGGGAAGAAAACGGCCAGTGGGAAAGGGTGGAGGAGCCTGCAAGGGCCAGGAAGTGGGACTTCTGCTTCCGAGTCCAGGTGCACTTTCCCAGAGTCAGCAGACTTCTCTCCCTTAAACACACACACACCCCATGCACCCACGATACTCAAATTCAAGACAGGCCATATTCTTAGAGGAAAGAAAGGAAAATCGACCTTGTATTTTACATGTGATGAATCCCATTGAATAACAAAATCTTGCACTGCTGTTTGAGTGAGGGGAAATCTACCAAAGCTGAAGGCCAACGCCACCTTACAAAGTCCTACAAGACACTTTGTTCTCCCAAGTCCATTGGGAAGATAAAAGATGCACTATTTTTTTATTCATATTTTATTGGTACATTTTAGGTGTACAATATAATGACATTCATCATTGGAGATTTGCACCTTTACATAATCTCTCTTGGTTCTTATTTTTCCCCCTTTCCCTGCCCTCCCTTCAACCCCTCCATCCCTCCCTATTTACAGAGACTCTGTTTCCATTTTTTCATTTTCTCTATTAATTCCATTCTCTTCTTTCCTTTCCCCTACCCCTCCCACTTCCCCTTCCCCTTTGCCCCTTTTCTTCCTGTTTCACGTTGTCTATTATACCTTTTAGTCTTTATTTACACTTTCAGTTTCTCACACTAGAGAAACTATTTAGTATTTACACATGTGTGTCCTATTTATTTCACTTAAGAGTATCGCCTCAATGTGCATCCATTTAGCAATAAATGTCTCTAATTTTTCATTTTTGAAGGCTGAGTAGTACTCCATTTTATTAAAAAACCACATCTTCTTCATCCAGTCTCCAGTTGATGGGCACTTGGGCTGTTTCCAAGCTTTAGCTATTACAAACTGTGCCACTATAAACATGGGTGCACATATATCACTGTGGTATGATTCTTTTAATTCTATGGGGAAGATCCCCAGCAGGGGAATAGCGGGGTCAAATGGGACCTCTAGTCCTAGTTCTTTGAGGTATCTCCATACTGATTTCCACAGTGGTTGCACCAGTCTACACTCCCACCAGCAGCGGAGCAGGGTTCCTCTTTCCCCACAGCCCCACCAGCATTTGTTATTGGTTGATTTCATGATAGCAGCCATTCTTTCTGGGGTGAAGTGGAATCTCAGCATTGTTTTCATTTGCAAAAAGACGTACTATTAAAACAGCTATGGACTCAGTGGTTCTGTTGCCTGTCTTGCAAGCACAAGGTCCCGAGTTCGATGCCTGGTACCAAACAACAAAACAAACCAGCTATGGTGATGGCCAATTGGACATAATTTCTCAGGCACACTTGTAGTAGCCCTCCCCCAAGTCCCAGAGCTAGCAAGCCTCCTCTTGGGAAAGAGCCTGTCCCCTTAAACCTGGCTCTGTGGCCCAGCTGAGCCCTGTGGGTCACATGTGTATGAGCTGCAGCCCCCTTCATTCAGGGAAATTCTACTTTCAATCTGATTGAAGTCTCTTCCAGAAATCTTTTTCTTCTGTTGATGAAGTGAAAGCTGAATAATATTTCTCAAAGATTCTTTTTCTTTCTTCTTCCCAATTCCCCACTCCCATGTGGTATAACTAAAGGGGATTTCTCTTCACTATTCTAACCAAATGCAGGAATAGGTGAGAAGTCTTGAACCTGAGAGAGAGCAAGGTTGAGTCAGATAAGGTGGGAGAGGGTGCAGTTAGTCCGCTAGACAGTGGGTCTCACATCTGTGGACTCAACCAACTGCAGATCAAAACTGTTTGGGGAAAAAAGTGCATCTGTGATGAATGTGTACAAACCTGTTCCCTTGTCCTTATTCCCTAGCAACTATTTCTATAGCATTTATGTCGTAGTTGGTATTATAAGAAAGCTAGAGATGGTTTAAAGTATCCAGGAGGATGTGCCTAGCTTAGGTGCAAATTTTATATCAGGGACTTGAGTATCTGTGGACTTTGATATCAGAGGGGGCCTGGAAGCAGTCCCCAAGGACATTCCAGGAAGGGACAGTGGTCATGGGTGACAGGCAGAGGGGTGGAAGAAAGAGCTAACAAGTAGGAAAGAGTGGACAAACACCGGAACGGAAGCACAGCACACAGGTTGGTCCCAGGGATTGTCATCTCACAGGGATAAACGGGCCCTTGGCTCCCTCTCTGAGAGTCCACCAGCTCAGAGCGAGTGTGAGCTCCTGATGTTCCTGACCTCCACTGCTTACCTGCTTCCCCTCGGGAAAGGCCCCAGGGAGGTCCTGCTCCTTCTTGCATCGAAGCCTCCCGGGGGCTTCTGAAGGTGAAGCTGCAGTAGCTCTGGTACCAGCGCTGGGCTGACCTGGTCCAAGAAGCTTCTAGCAACTTCTGGAATGTGCAGCCTGGAAGGCCAGTGCAGCCTTGCCCGGGAGAGACAGAGGGAGCTAGCGGATAAGCTGCTGCCCCCACCTGCCTGTGCCATGTCCCGCATAACCATGCAGCCCAGTGTCCCGAGAGGCGGTAGCCAGCGGGCCGTGCCCCACCTCGGGTTGGCGTCCTTCCTGCTTTGCCACCTTTCCCTTCCTACCTCCCGCTGGCAACCCTGGGACTGCAGCATGGAAGCTCCCTGCAGGCCTAGCCTCAGGCTGAGCTGCAAGGGGCTGTGCGTGGTCCACTGCCAGTGGCTTTTCTGGAACTGGTGCTAGAACCCCTCAGTCACCTGTTAGCTTCCTGGAGCTGGTGCACCAAAATACAAGTTGGAGACTTAAACTGTTATTTTCTCATGGTCCTGGAGCCTGGAGGTCTGGCATGGAGGTACCGGCAGCTGCGTTCCCTCCTGTGGTTCTGTGGGAGAAGCATTCCCTTCCTCTTCTAGCTTCCAGCAGCTACTGCACCCTTGGCATTCTTGGCTACGTTTGCACCCTCTCAAGCTGGGCCTCCATGCTCACATCACCTTCCTCTCTGAGTATCAGCCCGGTCTCCCACCCCCTCCCACTTAGGAGGATGCCTGTATTGACACTTAGGTCCACCAGATAATCCAGGATTGTCTCCACACCTCAAGATCTACCTGAAGGTCAGGGGTGGTGGTGCATGGCAGCAATCCCAGCATGCTGGGAGGCTGAGGCAGGAGGATTGCAAATTTGAGCCCAGCCTGGGCAACTCAGCAATTTAGCAAGACCTTTAGGAAGCTGGCTGGGGATGGAGCTCAGTACAAAGGTCCTGGGTTCAATTCACAATACCAAGGAGAACAAAACAAAACAAAACCCAACCACACCTATAATGTCCTTCTTCCAAATAAGATTGCATCCAATGGCTCCAGGAATTCGAGTGTGGCCCTATCTCTGGGAGCCTTTTCAACTTATTACACCATCCTCACTTTCCAGACTAAAATGTACAACAGGGAAAGAAAAAGAAGCAAGTCTAGCAAACTCTAACTTCACTATTAAACCATTGTGGAGAGAGAGAAAAGTAGAAGCAGGGGCAGTGCTAATGCCTCCACTTCTGGTGGTTTCTGAGGCCCGGGAGGCATCCGACCTTCAATCTTCATGTCAACATGTGTTATTCCTTCCTTGAGAGAGGTGAGATGGAACGATCCAGAATTGCTGAGGGGAGCAGCTGGCCCAGGATGAGCAGATGGACCAAGGACCCCAGAGCTGGGTGCTGAGACCCTCCTCCCCGCTATCCCCTCTGGGGCCCAGGGCCCCCATCCTGGCCATCACCCTGAGTGAGTGCAACTGTTAGTGCCTCATTTAAAACCCATTTGTAAAAGGCTCATAAATCACCCAGAGCACTCAGCCCCTCGGTGAATGCAGCCCATGGCAGGTTGTGTGCTTTCCCAGCAGGGCATCATATTCACGGGGTTTCGCACTACATTCTTTCAGCTGTTCGTGTTAACAAATCACTACAGGCATTTCTCCAAGTGTCCACGCCTCTGCTCAGTCTGAGTTCCGGGGTGCAGAAAGGCTCATGCTGCCCCTGCCCTCTCCCTGCTAACCCCGCAAAGTAACTTAGCTGAAGCCCCACACTGAATGAGAGATCCCTTCCTTCGCATTTGCTCCTGGTTGGACAACCGATACCACCGGAAAGGGTCACACTCTAAGCGTGGATATAATCTGTCCACGGGTCCTAGCGGTTTCTAGAGCAAGATGACTACGGTTCAAGATGACCTAGTGTACAGGACAAGGAGGCACCACCTAGGAGGCAGGCGAGCAAAGCCTGGGCTGTGCCTGGAGAGAGTCCACCAATTCTCAAGGTGCAGGACACTGAGGTGCAGAGGTGCCAGTTCTGTGCCCTGTGGACTGCACCATTCAGTCCTCACGTTGAGCCTTGAGGTGGGCGCCTGGAGCCCCATCCATGAACAAGGCGAGGTCTTAGAGGGTGGCCGAAGTCCACTTGCTCCGGTCCAGGGTGACCCCAGCAAGTGGGTGTGTCCATGCAAAGTTAAGTTAGCAAAAAGGACCATAGGTGACGACTTCTATTCCAGACGAGGAGGAAGGAGCATCGTGGGGATAGCCTGGTCCACAGCGCCAGCACCTCAGACACGATGGATTTCTGAGGCAGAGGGGTCCCGGGCGATGCCACAGGAGACAGACAAGTCAGACAGATGAAGGCTGTCCCCCAAGGGCAGGGGTGGTGTGGTGGAAAGGAAGTCACGTGGGTCACTGACGTCCACGGCGACCAGGAATCAGGGCACCCCACCCCTGAGGGCAGGAGGCGCAGAAGTCCCCGGGAGGAATGGAGCTGTCTGAGGTGTGGTCAGGGAGCTCGCCCTGCCATCCTTCCTCGGCCTGCTGCTCTGTGAGGAGAACCCATGAGGGACTCTGCTCTCCGGGTGCTGGCAAAGGCAGAGGTAGATTCTCTTCGGAGGGGTTTCCCTATATCAGTTCTGCAAGCCAGAGCCACAAAACAAAATTACTATGCACATGACCTCACAAACAAAAATTAACAAACAATTAGCAAAACCAAGGCGGAACTTCCTATAGATTCACTAATCCCCTAGCTTCCCCTCTCCAAAAACGCATAAATATTCCCAGCTCCAACCCTCTCTCTCTCTCTCTCAGGCCCACACTCTAATTCATTCAGTGTGTACTGCTAAATTTCTGGCTAATAAATCTCTTTATGCTGCTTTTAAAAAATAAATAATTGGGAAGGCAAGTCACTGAGAAAGAAAGCTAACAAACAAGAATGACAACTTCAGACTCTCAAGGCCTGCAAAGGTTTCTACAACAGTAAGCAGACTAGTTAAGTACACGAAGTTTAAAGAGGAAAAAATACAAAGAAATAGACAGTAGGAAGCCATCAGGCATGAATTGGTGGAATCAGAGAAAAAAGGTTCTAGAAATTATTATTCTAACTATTGAATTAAAAACTCAATGGGTAAGTTAAATCGTAGATTATAATGCAATGTGGAAATTTGTAAACTGGAAGGTAGATCTGAAGAATTTATCCAGCATGCAGCAGAGAAATCAAGAGATGAAAATGTGAGAAAGTCTAAAACAAGATGAATGAGAAGGTCTGGCATAGGAGTTGGTAAACTATGGCCAAATCCAGAAGCCACCTGTTTTACAAATGAAGTTTAATTGGAACACAACCATGCCCATCTGTTTACATATTGCCTATGACTTCCTTTGCACTACAATAGAGTTGAGTTGAATAGATGTTACATAGACTGTGTAGCCTTCGAGACCTAAAATATTTACTCTCTGGCCTTTAAAGAAACATTGTGCTCCTGCTTTGAGATAGATAGGTAGGTAGATGATAGATAGACAGAACTGTAGATATAGACTAGATATGGATAGGGAGGGAGGGGGAGAGGGGGAGAGAGAGAGAGAGAGAGAGAGAGAGAGAGAGAGAGAGAGAGAGACCTAACTGGGAAGCCAAGAGCAAGAAATGGAGAGAGAGGCATTGTTTTAAAAAATAATGACTAAGGGCCAGGGATTTAGCTCAGTGGCACTGCACCTGCCTCACAAGTGCAAGGTCCTGAGTTCGATCCCCAGAACCCAAAAGAAAGACAATTTTCCAAACTAATTTAAAACATGAAGCCACATATACAGAGATTACAACATATTCCAAGCAGGATTAATAAAAAGAGAAACAGGCCTGCCATGGCGGTTGAATTGTGTCCCCCAAAGATGTAAATGTACCCATAAAGGTGATCTTATTTGGAAACCGGATATTTGCAGATGTCAAGTTAAGGGTCTATTTTTGTTTTTGATTTTCAGGGCTGGAGATGAAACCTAAGGCCTCATGCAAGCTAAGCATGCAGCCTACCACTGAGCTACATCTCCAACCCCCAAGTTAAGAATCTTCAGATGAGATTGTCCTGGATTTAAGGTAAGCCCTAAATGCAACGACTTTTTTGTTTTTTTAAGAAAGAAGGGGAGAAAAAAGAGAAAGCGGAGTGGCAGAGGAAGGAAGGCCATGTGAAGACGGGAGGTGGCCAAGCCAAGAAACACCCGGCACCACCGGAAGCTGGAAGAGGCAAGGACAGACTCCCTTCTAGAACCTTCAGAGGGAGCACGGCCTCACCAACAACTCGATTTTGGACTTCTGGGCTTCTAGAATTGTGAGAGAATAAACTGTCTGTTGTTTTAAACCACTCAATTTGTGGTAATCAGTTATGGCAGCCGCTGGGAACAAACCAATTTTGTTGTTTAGTGTGGTAGAATAAAAATGATTCCAAGTTCTTTGCCATTCCCACACTAACAGACATGAAATTGCCTTCCCCTTGAATCTGGGCTGGTCTGCGATTGATTTGAACATAGGAGTGATACTAGGCCAGTTCCAGGTCTAAGCATCTGGAGTCCCTGGCAGATTCTGCTTTTGTGCTTCTGGGAGCATTCAGCTGCCACATGAGAGGCAGAGACGCTTCTGAAGAGACCGAATGGGAAGCCACAGGAGAGGTTGAGCCTGTGGACTGCATGGAGAAGAAAGGCCAACCTGCCGGCATCCCTGGAGCTGGCTCCCCGCTCCCCCTCAACCTGGCCCATTCCAGGGCCTGGTTCTCAGGTCTAGGATCCCCTAGTGCCTTCTGGGTCCCAAAGCCCTTCCCCAGAGGCAGCTCAGCCCCTGCCAGTCCTGCTCAGGGGCTCCTGTCACGCTCCAGTGAGCCATCTTGAATGTCCCCCCCCAGCTAAACCCTAAGGTAACTCCCGCTCCCAGCAATGGCACGTGCATCGGAAGGACTACCCTGCCCACCCCAGTCAGCCTCGAGAGTCACCAGGCAATGGCAAACTCAACAGAGGACACCCTTGCAGAAAGCAGCATTGTGGGCAGAACCAGGAGGAGAAAATGGTTGGTTACTGGTTCTGCTTCCCAGTAGATGAGCTGAAAATAACAAATGCTTTAGATATGCATGAGTGGGAGTTTCACCACGTCTCCAAATAGAAGTTAATTCTTCTGTCTGTCTATCATAGGACTAATTTTGTTAACCATTTTTGGGAATAAGTCCCCAGACTCAAACTGCCCATGAAGATTACAAAGCACTTAGACATTAAGAAATCTCGACAAGGCATCTTGACTGAGTAAGTTACAGGGGGTGGGGTGTGCTTTGGAATGCAAAGTCCTTGGTTTTTATCTTGGAAACTGGCTATGTTTTGGGAAAAGGTACATAGTCATTTTTTGGAGCTCAGGATATTAACGGCAGGAAGAGGGGTGTAAGTAGGTGTCCAGGTCATTTAAATCCGAAATAGAATTGTTTTGGCCTTGTGCTTTGACTGAAAAGACAAATCCTATTCCTCACACCATACACAGGAGCGGTTTATTGTTAATATTAATAATAATTAGCACCTCTTTTTACATCGACATAAATAAAATCGATCAAATAAAACATCAGATTAGTGAATACTGAATCAAATCATCATTTTAAAAAAATTCCTGGTTAAATATGTGCCTTAGGGTCAGAGCCTTGACCACTAGGTGGAGCTATAGAAGCTAAGCGGTACTTCATTCATGGTAACCACGCACACCCTAGTCAGAAAAAAGTCTGCGTGTCATGATTGCCTGTCATGGGCGAGGCCCTCGGTTCAATCTTCAGCACTAGAAAAAAAAAAGAATATTGTGAAAGAAAGGAAGGGAAGGAGAGCACATCATTCCTGAGAAAATAAGCCAAACCGAGAAGAGACCAAAATATAGGAAACCACGTATCTTTCCTATAATTACTAAGTCCCCGGCAAAACCTCCATGCAGACTTTCGCAATGCTGCTTTTGGAAGACCTGTCCAGGTCTTCGTGGAAACGACAACCGTGTGACATGTTTGCCGTTTCTCCACCTTGCACGGGCTCAAAAGCTCTTCAGCCCTGGCAATGCTGTGGGCTTATTTTCCCTTTAAATTCCTGCTGCACTTTCATTTGATGATCCGTTCCTTCTGACCTGTGAATGTCTTGGCAGAGCTTTTTCAGGCCAGCTTTCTTTCTCTAAAAGATTTTCTCTCAAAATCTTCCATTCCCGGAGGCCCTGGACTCGGCAGCAGGCCCCCTGTGGGTGGGGAGAAGGCGCTGCCCGAAAAGCAGGATGAAGCTGATAGCTGTGTTCCGCTTCCCAGCCAGCTTTCCCGGCACTGGGGGTCTTTTCCCCAGGGAAGAAACTGGAGGGTCTGTCCCCCGAGAAGCTAATGTCCCCAGCAGAATGATTTAGATGCTAATAACTAAAGCCCCTCGTAAATCCCAGTAGCCTCCCAGTCAGCCCGCAGAGCAGCCAGGGCCTCCTGTCCTTCTGGACCCACAGACCTTGCACTCCGCTGCCTTCCCCGGCTGGGCCAAGGGCTCCTGCTTTTTCATGTCTTTGCTTTGTTCTCTGTTCTGGTTTTTGTTTGTTGTATCCTCTGTCAGACATCGTCCTCTAATATTACGTTATATAGACTTTTTCTAGGGTTCATTTTCCTTAGTGCATGTTTGCAGTCTGTGCAGTGTACAGTCATCTGGGGGAGTGGGTACAAGTGCCCAGTACAGCATGGCGCTTTTTTAAACCCCTTTCCTCTTCCCTCTCACCTCCCTCCCTCCTCCTCTAAATCCCTTTTCCCCATTTTCAGTTTTGTTGATATTACTAATCTTATCTCATGTTTAGGACATATAACATTCACATTCATTGAAGTTATTAGGTTCCTGTACATGCTATATCTTTATTCTACTTATTTCCCATTCCCTTCCCCCTCTCACCTTGCCCTAGGACTCCCGGACCCCTTCCCATCTGTAAGAGATCTATTCCCTTGCCTCCTTCTATCCATCCCTTATTGTACTTTGTCTGTACTGTGCCTTACTCAAATGAGATACCAGATGGCATTCTAACATGAGATGGTCTCTAACAAGATAGGTAGAAAATAAACAAGAGAAAAAGAAACATTGGCAGCAGAAGAAAACTTCAGAAGTCATAGGCAAACGTCTCTAAGAGAATACAATGCATACATAAAACAAGAATAGAATGATAGGAAAAAGGACATAATCAAAGAGCAAGGATGGGTTCTTGTGAAGTAACAATGCATTAGCTAAAATGGAAATTCAACAGTCTAGTTGGAAAACGGGTTCAACAATTATTCCAGAAAGTAGACTATGACCGATAAACAAGAGGAGAAAAATATGAAGACAAAATCAGAAAGTCAATATGGAAGTCAATATTGCAAGAATAAGAGGTCTAAAGGAAACTAATAATATGGAGAGGAAAAATTGATTTTTAAAATTTTTTATTAATATATGACTGTGATACAAATACGTTTACCAATGGGAAGGTGGGACCTACACCCATCTCCTCTTACTCTTTTTTACTTTTCTCCCCTCTGCCTCCCCCATCCCTCGTCCCCTTTCTGTCTCCAAAAGGTCTCCCTCCCTGTTTCCTATCACCTGTCTTTTATTTTGCTCTTTAAATTTTTAGACCTTGGATTTCTCATATTGT